GACTAAAGTGAGAAGAAATCTAAATATAGTTCTGATTTGCATTTTCTTAATTGTTAGACATTTGTTGGTCATTTATATTTCTTTTTAAGTGTCTGTTTAATTTTTTGCCCATTTATCAATTGGGTTATTTGTTATTTTTTTCATGTTTTTTGAATTCTTTATGTTTTGGATATTAATTCCCTGAGAAGCAAGTGGCAAAGATTTTCTCCCATTCTGTAGGCTCCCTCTTCACATTATTAATTGTTTCTTTTGATGTACAGAGCTTTTCAATTTTCTCCTTTGTTAGATTAATTTGTAGGTATTTTGTTTTTAGATTATTGTAAAAGGTATTGTTGTTATGATTTAGATATTATGAGTCCTCCAAAAGCTTATGTGTGAAATACTGCAAGTAAATTTAGAGATGAAAATGGGTTATGAGAATCTTAACCTAATCAGTGCATTAATTCCCTGATAAGGATTAACTGGGTGGTGACTGTAGGCAGGTAGGATATGGCTGGAGGAGTGGGTCCCTAGGGTGTGTCTTTGGGGTATATACTTTGTCCTTTTTGAACAGATCTCTCTCTCTCTCTCTCTCTCTCTCTCTCTCTCTCTCTCTCTCTCTCTCTCTCCTTCCTGATTGTCCATGTCCTGAGTTGCTTTTCTCTGCCTCATTCTTCTGCCATGATAGAGTTGGACATCTATGAACTACGACCTCTGAATCCATGAGCCCACAATAAACTTTCCTCCTATATTGTTCTTGTCAAGTCTTTTTGGTCATGCATGAAAAAGATGACCAAAACAGTAATTTTCCTGATTTCTTTCTCAGCAGATTCATTATTGGAGTATAGGAATGAGACTGATTGATGTGTGTTGATCTTGTATCCTGATACTTTATTAAATTTGTTTATCAGCTCTAGAAGTCTTCTGGTGGAGTTTTTTGGTTCCTTTAAATATAGGATCATGTCATCAGTAAACAGAAATAATTTGACCTCCTTTTTTTCTATTTGTGTTCCTTCTCTTGCCTGATACTCTGGTTAGAGTTTCAAGGAATATGTTGAACAGGAGTGGTGACAGTGGACATACTTGCTTGTTTTTGGAGGAAGTGATTTTTCCCCATTCAGTATGATGTTGGCCTTAGCTTTGTCATATATAACCTTTACAGTGTTGAGGTAAGTTCCTTCTATCCCTAGTTTCTCCACTATTTTAAACATGAATGGGTGCTGTACTTTGTCAAATGCTTTTTCCTGAATCTATTGGGATAATCAAGTGATTCTTGTCTTTTAACTCTACTTATATGGTGAATTATATTGAGTGATTTCTGTATGCCAAACCAACCTTGCATCCCTGAGATGAAACCCACTTGATCATGATACACTATATTTTTAATGTGCTTTTTGTATGCAGTCTGCCAATATTTTATTAAGAATTTTTAAAAATATTTTTTAGTTGTAGATGGGCATAATACCTTTATTTTATTTATTTATTTTTATGTGGTGCTGAGGATCAAACCCAGTGCCTCAAACGTGCTACTGCTCTACCATTGAGCTACAACCCCCAGCCCCTTATTAAGAATTTTTGCTACTATGTTCATCAAGGATATTGGTCTGAAGTTTTCTTTCCTTGATATCTTTGTCTGGTTTTGGTATCAGGGTGATACTGGCTTCATAGAATGAGTTTGGAAGAGTTTCCTCCTTTTCTATTTTGTGGAATAATTTGAGGAGAATTGGTATTAGTTCTCTGAAAGTTTGGTAGAACTCAGGTGAGAAACTGTCTGGTCCTGGGTTTTTCTTTGTTGGAAAGCTTTTGATGGCTGCTTTAATTTCATTACTTAATATTGATCTGTTTAAGTTTTCCATATCCTTATGGTTCAATTTGGGCAGGACATTTGTTTCTAGGAATTTGTCAATATCTTCAACATTTCCAGTTTATTAGAACACAAATTTTCAAAATAGTTTCTAATGATCCTCTGGATTTCTGTAGTGTATATGGTGATATTTAATTTTTCATCTATAATTTGTTTACTTGACTTTTCTCTCTTTGGTTTGGTTAGTTTCACTAAAGGTTTATTAATATTGTTTATCATTTCAAGAACCAACTCTTTTTTCATTGATCCTTTGTATTTTTTTTTAAATTCTGAACTTCATTGATATCAGCTCTGATTTTAATAATTCCCCGTATTTTCCTAATTTTGGCGTTAGTTTGATCTTCTTTTTCTAGGACCTTGAGGTATAATGTTAGATTATTTATTTGGATCTTTCTATTATTTTAAGGTATGAGCTCAGTGCTAAACTTTCCTCTTAGATGTGTTTTCATACTGTCCCAGAGGTTTTTATTTATTTTTATTTATCATTATTCTTATTTGTTAGAATTTTTTTTTTATTTCTACTGATTTCTTCTGCTATCCATTTGTCATTCAAAAGTGTATTATCTAATCTCTAGGTGTTAGAGTAGTTTCTGTTTTATATATTGTCATTTCTAATTTCACTCCATTATGATCTGATAGGATTCAAGGTATTATCTGGTTTTTTTTCCAATATTATGGTCTATTTGATTTTTAATATTGATAAGGTTTGTTTTATATATGTAGGTGCACAATTGTTTGGGGCATAAATATTTAAAATCATTATATCTTCTTATTGAATGATTCCCTTAACTAGTATGAAGTGACCTTTTTTGTCTCTTTTGATTAATTTTGCCTTGAAGTCTACTTTGTCTGATATGAGAATAGCTTTGTCTGATAAGAGAATAGCTACTTGTTTACAGTACCATTTGAATGCTATATTTTTTTCTCATCCTTTCAACCTTCAATCTTTGGATATCTTGTCTATAAGATGAGTCTCTTGCAAACAACATATTGTTGGGTCTTTTTTAAAATCCAATCTGAATAGCTTGTATTTTAATAAAGGGATCCATTCTACCAACCTAGTAGTATGGTGACAACTTTGGGAATATGTAATAGGTAGAGATGACCTGGTGCATTTATACTTTGAAAACACAGGAGACTTTTATCCAAGTTACCCTAGGCCAAAACACAAAACCCAAAAATGTCACCAACAAATTTAATATGCTAAATTACTAAATATTTACTAATTACTTAATAACCAATGCTTATAACATCTATTGCTAACCAGCAATAGATGTTTAAAACCTCTTACAAGTAGAAATGTATTTTCTCAGATTTCTAATTACTGATCTCTAGGAAAAAAAGCAACATGTCTAGGGTGTTTTGGATGTTTTAAAATCAAATCTCCACCATTCTATGAATGGTTTTTAAATTTCTCCTTATATTATTTCAAAAACGGAGTGGTTACTTTCACAAAAGTAAGAAAGATGATAGTAAAATAATGAAGCTGGATTTGCCTGTCATCTGGTGTATTCTCTAGGAAGGCTCTCAGACCAGAGTGCTCCTGCTACTGATGGTATTGTTATTATTTGCAGACTTTGCCTGCCTAAGTGTGGGAATAACAGTTGTTAGGGGATAGTATGTGGGTTTATTGCCAGTTGTATCCTGACAACTCAATGACAATCAAATATATATCCTAATGTAAGCTGTGAAGAATACAAATTCTTGAATAAGATTTAATTAAAGTATGGAAATGTAGGATAGGTGGAAGATTTATTTGTTTATGTGTTGTGTGAAAAAAATTCTGGGGACTGAATCATCAGTCTTAATAAGGAGCATAATTGACGTGGAAAAAAAACAAAGCCATTAAAAATTTTCTGCAGTAGTAGATCATGGAAAATCCTCTTCTCACTCATATTTTGAATTGCTTATTCCATAGAATATTATATTAAATGTGGGTACTGTCTTTTTAAGTGGAACATTGAAAAATTATAAAATACTTAGTATGTTAAAGGTTAGAAATACTTTCTAATGGGCAATATGAAAGATCTAGGATAATTTTGCCTGGAGAAGAGGAACTTAGAAATAATTTTCAAACATTTGATGGTGCTGGTATGAAAAATAGTGGGCCCATTCTATTGTTTGCTACCTAGCAGCCTTTGACAATTTACCTAATATTATTCTCTGTTGTATACTGTACTGTCAAAAATTTGTTTTCCTTCACCAGTAACCACAAGAGATAATGATAAAATGAAAATGCTAAGTGCTGGAGTAGCTAAAAAGACCACTAGATGTTTTCTCTGATATGCAGAAGCTAATTCAAAATAAGGGGCGGGGGTAGGGGATAAAAGAGAAAAAAAATCTTTCTTATGTACATATATGAATATACCACAGTGAATCGTACCATCATTTAAAAAAGAACAATAAGTAAATAGCAGAAAGATCAGTAAAGTAGAGGGAAGGGAACAGGGGGTGGGAGGAAAAGGTGAAATACTGGGGACTGAATTAAAACAAATTATATTCCATGCTTTTATAATTATGCCAAAATGAATTCTATTGTCATGTATAACTAAAAAGAACAAATAAAAAAGACCACAGAACATTCTCTGAGTCTTATTTGCAAAGAGATTATAATAACAAATTAAGGAGAGGTGTTTTGAAAGTTAAATGAGATGCTCCATATCATGGTTTTATATATACACTGAGTACCATTATTATTATTGCTCCATAGGATGAAACTGATACCAGAAGTCATAGGAAATAAAAGTTGGCTTGTACTGGAAGGGCCATTTTTAACATGAAGAATTGTCCAATCTATGATCAGGGTTCAATTTGTTTTGCTACAATCTTGAACCCCTTCTTTCTTTAGGCATGCATGCAATTAGATTTGGTTATTTTTTTATATGCATCTGTAAACCACCTCAGGCCTTTTTTGTAAAAATATAGAACACATAAAAACAAAATTAATCTATTGATATATAGCAAAAGTGATCACCTCTGGAATTACACAGAAATTTCATGGTATATTTATTTAAAATATCTTCTAAATTATACTGCTAACTGCTAAAAGACTTTAGTATGCTTAGCAATTTAAAGAGTTTATACAACTTAATTTTTATTTTTTTTAATGCAAAAGAAATAAAATCAATGCATAATTTGGCACTTGATTGTACTATACCTTGAAACATGTTCTATGGCATCCTGGAAAAACACCAACTTTACTTCTTTGGGGTTTATAAGGTTATAATCATCAAGATAATCCTGAAGAACATTTGCAATTTTCTCCATATCAGGCATATCATCATAAATCCGATCAGCTCTATCTGCTCCAAACTATAAGATGAGAGATGGGAGAAAAATCAAGTTGGATCAATTCTAATATGTAAGTGTACAAGATATGCATAATATGGGAAATCCACTTAACTTCTTCAAGTGGTACATTTCAATTTCAATAATCTTTGCAATAAAATAAACACACAAACTTAGAATAGGGCTTTAATTTTTCATATAATCCCACACTCTGGTTCCATACTTTTGTTTTTAGTCTACTGACATTAGAAAAGCTAACTAGTTGAAAATCATGGCAGATTTTATCGTTATAAACAATCATGTGGCAACTATATGTAGTTTTTACACAGCAGTCATCTAGAGTTATAAAAATTGTTGAGAAAAAAAAATCAGACGTAACTACAGAGAACTAAGTTCCTCTTTGAAATTATTGAGACTGTTTTTTCTCTGCTGTAGCAACTTCCCTGGGGACACTTTTGATTTTACTAAAATATATCTAGGCAATGCAAGAGCCTATCTCTTCTTTTTCCTTTGCTTCATTCCCCCAAGATAATATCATCACCACAAACACATAGGAAATACAATCTTTGGAAACAAACCTTGGATTTTATTTTTAATGACAAATTTAAAAAGATGTATTTCACACAAATAGATTATCTTTTTTTTTAATCTTTCAGGTGATAACACTCCTGACAGATATCTGGAGTTGTGTTCAGAGTGATGAGGTAATGGACACATAATATAAAGAGCTTGTTCATTGTTGAACCAGTATTAATTGAAGCATGCTATGTATCTAGGTCTCCATAGAAAGCTGGGGACTTAGGGAGAACAGTGCCCTCTTGGAGAGACACTGAGAATGTGTTACCTGATCAAGAATCAACTTGGTAAAAGAAAATGGCTGTCTGTCAAGGAAGGTGGGGTGGTTAGATGGAATATATATTTTAGGAAGGTCCAATGGGCAAAATCAGGAACAAGTATAAATATTATTTGTACATGGGGGGATAGACTTGAGAAGCTTATAAGGAAATAAAGGAAGTTAATACAAGGGAAATTTTGCTACTAAACAGGTGGCCCTGGAATAATAGGACAATTCTGTTAACTAATCTACCTTCCATCACTGAAAGCATTTAAGTAGGGCTGAACAGCTTCATAGAATTCAATAGGGATTCCAGTTCTGAGACTGATTAAGTTTCCTAAGATTCCAGTTGAGACTAAGCTTCCCTACTTTCCTCCACATCAAATTATCTAATGACTCTCTAATTCAAACTATTAACAAAAGAACATAGGTACATCAAAGGTCAGCAAACTTTTTCTTTAAAGGGTCACAGGTCTTCTGGTTTCTGTGGCTTCTACTGCACTTTGCTCACATGTATAAAAGGTTCATATAAAGTGTACACAAACAAGCAGCTATGACTGTGTTCTGATAAAACTCTGTCTACAGAAATAGGCAGCAGATGGATTTGACTTATGGGGACCATAATTTGTCCACACTTGGCCTAGATATTTGATCTTCATAGATGTAAAGTTCTTACAGAACATGAATCTGAATTGAAAAATAGTGAATGCTTTATAACCTTCAAATGTATTCAATACAATACAATATACTTGCCTTAATGAAATCTCCAAATATGATGGGCTTAACCAAAAAATATTCCAGGCCTATTGCAATGCCAAAATGTTTGTCTGTTAAAAAGCAAAAACAATTTTGATATAATGAAAAGCTTGAATGTAGTATTTTAATAAAAAGATATATAAAATAATATCAGCTATCATTAAACTGAAAGTCTTAATTAGTGTGAATGTCAACATCAACATCATGTCACTTTAGTTTGTTTGATCATTTCCCAGATTTAAGATTAAGAATATATAATAACTTTTAAAATAACTTTTGCTAAATAATAAATATTGGATATTTATTAAGAAGTACTTTATAATTATCCTGGCATCTTATCAGACAAAATACTGTTTCTCTTACTTTTCTTTCTATACTTAAAAAGTCTCTACTGAATTAAATAGAGTAGCCCTTCCTTAATTTCAATAAAATTATTTTAGAATATTTTCATATGTTTGAGTTATCAAATAATGTTTTCTCATGAGTACCTAAAATTCATAAATCCATTTTAATTTTCATTTATAAAAATCAAATTGCTTTTCTGCTAAAAAAAGAATAGCAAAATAAAGATTTATATTTACTGGCCATTTCTGTTAAAATAACGTAGAAATAGTGTTTATCTTCATTATTAATCAAACGATCATGGAAGACTCTTTGACATTCATGGCAAAAGAGTCTAAATATCTGCATTTCTTCTCTTATTGTTCCTGAGTCACACTGGAGGATGCCTGTTTTGTAAGAAGAAAAAAAAAAAAGAAAATTCTACATTTGTGGAATCTCTAATAATAGTTTAATTAACTAGGAAATCCTGAAGTCCAAATTTACCCAAACATTAGCAGAAATGAATGCTTCCCCAGTGGATACATACATATAATAATGGTGAACTCATTTTCTTGGAAGCAAAACTGGGATATGCTATGTGACAACAATTTTTTTTTCCTTTTCCCCATTTCTTTCTTTAACTCAACATGTGGGCAGTGGGCAGTACGCCAAATGAGAAAGGTTATATTTCTTTCTTCTTAAAATTTACTTGTTGGTTATTTTTAGTTATACATGTCAGGAGAATTCATTTTGATATATAATTATGAGCATGGAATATATCTTATTCTAGTTAGGATCCCAATCTTGTGGATATACATAATGGTGTGATTCACTGTGTTGTTTTCATATATTTACATAGGATAATTGTGTCAGATTTCCTTTTCCTATTCCTCCTCCCTACCCTCCATTCCCCATTGTCTAATCTACTGGAAAGCATTATGGAGGTTCCTCAAAAAAACTTGAAATAGAGCCACCATTTGACCCAGCTATCCCATTGCTCAGTATACATCCAAAGCATTTAAAATCAGCTCACTACAGTGATGCAGCCACATCAATATTTATAGCAGCTCAATCCACAATAGTTAAGCTATGGAACCAACCTAGGTGCCCTTCAACAGATGAATGGATGAAGAAATTGTAATATATATATGCAATGGAGTATTACTCAGCCATAAAGAATAATGAATTTATGGCATTTGTCAGTAAATTGTTGGATCTGGAGACTATCATGCTAAGTGAAATAAGCCAGTCCCCAAAAGCCAAAGTTATCAACCTTATCAAACTTTTATCATGATGTTTATACTGTTTTCAAAACATCAATTCCCTCTTTCTTCCCCAATGTTAAATTCTCACCAAATGCTAATAGCTGCTACTCAAATGACTCTGAGTACACTTAGTTACCACAAAAGCAGTGATATATAGCACTGTCTGGAAATGTTTCTGCATGGAGACCCCTCACACAGGGTTTCTCTCACTGTGCAGATGAGGCAAGGACACAATATACTATGTACACAGTTGCACCAGAGTGTGTACCACACATAACATAATAAGTACTGTCCACATTGCCTTGCAATACAAGGAATTTCTGGAGATAATAATTCTCTATTTAAATTCTTTGCATCTAAAGTTTGTGTGTGTTTGACATGTGTATTTCTTGAAGTGCTTAAAGTTTTAATAATTTTCAGTTAATATTTATAGAAATAAGGGAATTTCTAGGACATTTTAATGAGAATAAGCAGAAAAATATTAAAAATTGGAAATTTCTGGATACTTTGATGTACGATCACTGGAGATAAAATGAGCCGTAAATTTTGAAGCTCAGAAGTTATGTACAAAACAGAATAGAAAGGCAATAAGGGAGGCCAATAAATAAATGACTAGATTAGACAACGTCTGACGACCAGAGAAAGTGAGTTTGAAGAAGTTCACCAAAGAAACAAAGCCACATTCTACAATTTTCTGGGGAAAAAAATGGGTTTGTAAACCCCTGGATAAAACTGCTAATATAAAGGGGAAGATTTTTTAGGGGAGGAGGAAGAAAACAAGTTATGTTATCCTGTGGTAAGGATGGTTTTAATATGCCCACTTCAAAAATTATCTGGAATAGAGAAAAAAATAAAATAGTCACATGAGTCTCATGCAAATGAGAGTTGGAAAGATCAGGAATCTGTGGAGAGAACTGGCAGGGTTGTCAGGGTTTTTAAAGCCAAGCCTCAGCTTCTGTCTTGGGCCATTGTCTTATAGTTCATTCTCAGCTTTATTAATGCACAAAAGGTAATGAATTAGATTTTGATGAACTCAGAAAAGGGAACTGGATTTCAGAGAGTCCAGATATTGCTTTGTAAAAAAGTACTTTATAGCTTTCATTTAGTCTACTTAGCAGATATTCAAAACAAAGTTACTTAAGTTTATTTGGATCCTTGTTGAGAAAAAATATTAGTGGTATAGAACAAAGGACATTGGATAGAAAGTGAAGAGACAAAGCAGATCATGGGGCAACTAAGAATTAAGAGTTCTTGTGCACAAAATAAGGGGAGGGGTCTTTATCTGGGAATTGTAAACACATTCTTTAAGTTCTGACCTTCTCTGATACTCACTTGTTCATTTCATTCTTTCACTCAGTGCCAGGCACAATTCCAGGCCTTGGAATGCAGTGATAAACTACATAAAGAGCCCTCAAGGAGCCGACATCCTAGTGTCTCCACAAACTTTAACACATATGCAGACAAATATCTAGGATATAATCTCAGGTAATACTTGCTGTAAAGGAATATAGAAGGGGAAGGTTTGGCTGAGGAAGTAATGTTAAGGCAAGGAAAGTGATCCATGTGAATATCTGGGATAAGAGCATTCCAAGAGCAGTTCAGAGGCTCTAGGCAGACCCAGTTTCAGGAGTGGCAAAGAACTGGCAACCATAAGGAGGAAAATGGGAGGCAAGAAAGGCAGAAAGGAGGCCTTGGTCCAGATTAATAGAAACTCAGCCACATGGCAGGTCTAGGGAAGCAGCCTGAGGAGAGCCTGAATAAGGCATACAGCTGGCTGCTGTGCAGAAGGCAGATCTGGGTTCATGATAGGGAAGGTAAGCACATAGATTGGAAGCAGATTAGAGAGGAGGCTTTTCCTATTAGAAATCTTGGTGAAAGGTGATGGTAGTTTGGGATAGTATGAAGTAGATGGAGTCCTCACTAGAAGACTAGTGGCTAGATTTGGGATATATTTTGAAGGTAAACCTGTCAGGATTGTTCATATATTGTCTTGGAATTATAGAGGCTTATGGCTAAAACAAATGGCAGTCTCTCTGGGACAGGGACACACATGTCCAGAGGTGGAGGGATAAATCAGGAATATAGTTTTGACATGCCAGGTTAAAGAAGCCCACATGGATAGCTGAGAGAGGGCATCGAGAAGGACGTTGGATGTGCAAATCAGACATGCCCAGGAGAGGTTGACACTGAAGGCAAGCAACTGAACACTACCTCTGAACAGATAGTATAACACCACAGGATTGACTGAGACTAGACTATAAAGTGGATGGAAGATAGAGTCCTGAGGCCCCATCATCTTGAGGAAGGGAAGAGGAGGAACAGCCATCAAAACAGACTAGCAGCAGTAGGCAATGAGAGGAGGCAACACATGCGAGCATGTGCCCTAGAACACTGGGAAGGAATGGGTGAGTTGTGCTGAAGGTTCATCAACCCATGGATTTGACTAGATACCAAGGTAAACTTGGGACGAGCAGTTTAGTACAGTGGCAAGTATGAAATTTTGATTGGCATAAATTACCTAGAGGGAGTAAGTGGGATAGTGAAGTGAGACCGTTTTTTGAGGAGTCTTTCTAAAAGAAGAAAATAAATAAAGGGATGATATCAGGGATAAATGGAGCCTAAGGAAAATTAAATTTTTAAGATAAGAAGTATGATAGCAGGGTTTTTTTGTTTTGCAATATTGTTAGGAATGACCCAATAGATAAGAAATTTATAAGAGCAAAATGAAAATTTTAAGAGCAAAATCCTGCAAGAGGGGATAAGATTCAGTGTCAGAGGGTGGCACCTGATACGAACAGGGACAGCTCAGCACAGGGAAGGAAGATGCAGGTTGTCTGAGAGATTTGGAAGATGAGGCAGCTCTGGTCTGATTGTTTCCATTTTTTTTCCAGTAAAAGATCATGAGTTGGGAGGGAGAAATTGGAGAGATATTGGTGGTTTGAAAAAGCTGTAAAGTTTTCAGCCTGGGGTGGGGGTGAAGGGTGACCTGTATGAGGACATGCTATGGGATTTCTAGGTGAGTCACAGACACTTGGGTACACACGATTTTAATAAGAGAGTTTATGCCAAAGAACATGAAGGGAGGGTGCAAATCAGAGAGTGAGGGTTTAATACACTACCTTGCACACATTTGGATAAATCCCTCAAATTAAAGACATAGTGGGACTTTGCTGGTGTTGGCAGGAGATCAATACTCATTCTGTTATAAATCTCAACTGAAGCTTCTACGATGCTTGATGCGGTTTGCTTTACAGCTTGTGGAAAGTCAAGTAGGAAGCCATTTAAGATGGCCTGGAACCAGAAACATGAGAGGGTTATGTTTTTTAAATCAAATATTTATTTTTCAAATTACTCTAGATATGATCCTGCTTTCTAATAATAACTAGAAAACCAAATTCTAACACAAAGATACGTGAATGTCAAAGTTCTTCCATTCATTTCAGAATTTGATCCCAAGAAGGGGCCCATTTTTGTCTTCTGTGACTGGGCTGCTTGAGCAACATTCATAAAAATATTTTTGAATTTACCATGACCCTACTCTCAGGTAATTTAGACTTCTGCTCACTGTGAGTCCAGAGGGTCTTCACTGAAGAAATAAACTCATCTGGAAATGAACTGTCTTCTCTCTCATTTTTATGGGTGAATGACCAGCAAGCCCATAGGTTTCATTTTCATGTGTATTTAAAGTGTGACTTGTATAGACTCCCCTGCCTCTCATCCCCACCTCGGTAAGCGGCCTTGCCCTGGTTCACTCAGATCAGGAGCTTGGAAGTCCATTTTAAAACCTCCCTGATTCTCCCCCTACAATCTTGAATTCATTTCTTGAATCTGTGTCCTTCAGTTTTTAATGACACCACCCCATTGTACCTTTTTCTTTTCCATCTGGACTCCTTCCCTTCTCCTTCCCTTCTCATTGGCCTCTTCACTTCTACTTTCCTCTCTCTTTAATGATACAAATACCATCTTCTGATGTTCAGTATCCCCCAACCTTCCTATTTTACTCTTCTGTCCCTATTGCTCACTGGCTTTAACAGCCCATACTCCTTCCTCCCTTAGGTTTCCACACTTGCCGTACCTCCCTCCCAATACCCACTCCACATGGCTCTCTCTTGCAGGTGCTTTCTCAACCTTCATATTTTTGGTTCCATGTCATCTCTTCAGAGAGGCATTCCCTGACCACCCAATTTAAAACAAGTTCTTCTATCAGTCTCTCTGACTTTCTCACACATAAATTGCCACAGTATGAAAGCCTAACTAGTCTCTAACCCACAGTTGCTCAGGAAAGCCATTATAGGTTTTAAATAGATAAATTTCCATCACCATTAATCTTGAAGTTACTCACAAGAGAAGCTTTCAGAATGCAAATTAATGGTTATGAATTATTTCTTATGATTTAATATTTGGGTCTCATATATGAGATAGTTAAAAATAAACCAAAGTTCAGTGCTTCTTGCTGAATATTAGTTTCAGTAGTTTAAAAGGACTATCTGTCTTTTTGAGGTATTTCCCTTGTGAATCCCAAATGAGTTTACCATTCTCCACATGGCCAGTGTTTTGAGTAGAAGCATCCCAAACCTAATCTTTAAATTTGGTGATAATATGCAGCTGTATGTGTGTAATGGAGAATAGACAAATTGGAATATATGTATATATACAAATGAAATTTACATTACAAATATGAGAAAAGTTTCAGTCTATCTGTTCTCTATCACACAATTTTTAACATATATATTAGTAACTATATTTATCTGTATATTTCATTCATTTTTTTAATTATCTTTCTCCATGATGGAAGACCCATGAGGACAGACATGATATCTGTTTTGTTCAAAATAATACACTGCCATCTGACACATGATAAGTGCTCAACAAACATTTTTAATGAGTGAACTTCTAGCTATTAAACTGGTATTCATAAATTAAAAGTAGCAGGTTACTATAGAAGTTATTGAAAACCATAGCTTGGTATTCTACTTGTGGTTTACACGACTTGCTTGACAGTTTTGTAGAGCTCCTATTAAGGATATGCACACAAAATAGAGCCATAGTTCTCACAGTTGAGGAAGGAAGCTTTGGTATGAGGATATTATTAGTATTTTATAGAACTGATCATAGATTTCAATTACTTGTTATGAATTTGTTTTAAAATGCTTGTTATGGTTTGAATATAAGGTGTCTGCCAAAAGCTTAGGAGACAATGTAGCAATGATCAGAGGTGAAATGATTAGATTGTAAGAGCTGTAACAACCCAATCAGTGGATTAATCCGTTTGATGGATTAATAATATCACTATACTGGGTAGTAACTGTAAAGAGGTGGGGTATGGCTAGAGGAAGTAGGTCACTACAGGCATGCCTTTGGGGTTTCTGTTTTATCTGGCACCTCACTTTCTCTCTGCTTCTGGGTTGCCAGAAGTTGAGCAACTTTCCTCTGTCTTGCCCTTTGTCTATCATGTTCTGCGTTACCCCAGGCCCACAGAAATGGAGTCTGCTATCAATGGACTGAAACCTCTGGAATTATGAACCAAAATAAACTTTTCCTCCTCTAAGTTATTCTGGTCAGGTATTTTGGTCATAGTGACGTAAAACTGACTGATATACCACTGTTAAGTCTTTCTAACTAGAAATGACATTTAATTTAGTGGCAATTTCATCAATTTAACTTGTGTATTGTTTAGTTTACCTTTATAATATCTAGGGACACTTATTCTAGCATAAAAACTTCCAATAAATAGACACTCAAGCGTATGTGAATGTGGCTCAAAATCTGTGCAAATCTTGACCTATCATTAGTGATATGCCCCCTGCATATATGCAGCATTCAACAAACTTGCAAAAGAGAATTAAAGAAAGCACCTTAATATCATTGCTTAAAAATAATAGGCAATTAAAAACATTATATATATTACATTACAAATTATAAACTTTTATATATAGCATATGTATATACTATTTAGACCCATAGACATCTTTTATACAGAAATAAATCAATTTTTATTATATATGTTGCTAATAAATTTAACTTATTTATTGTCCTGTTCTTAAGTTCTTGGCTAATCCCAGGTCCTTCTACTGTCATTCAATGACAAAGGATAGGGAGCGATGGCTGTGAACTCTTGGGTCTAATTTAGACAGATTGTGATTAAAGTTTGAGATCCATGGGCCTATAGCAAGTCCCTTTTTTCTACAAGTAAAATATCTTGCTTTGGTAAGGAGGGAAGTATGTGTCCTATCTAAATCCAGTCCCTGCCAGTATTTCCCAGAATCTCTTTCTATTTCTACCCACACCAGGTATGAGTTTTAATTATAAATCTGTAAGTCTCAGTGAGAAGCAGCAGCTTCATCCCAGTCTGTTTTCAGCTGTGATGTTCTTGCTGGATGATGTTTTCATGAGGGGCATATTTGTTTAGATATGTTAATTATAAGCAATAAGTTCCCATCCTTTCATAGTCTAAAGATTCTCCAAAAACTTTTACCTATCAATTTGGCAAAGGCTTTTAACTTACTGGAATTAATTCAAATATAAAAATTAAATTCAAATTAAAAATAACTTCCCATGAATGTAAGCTATGTCAGTGTGAATAAAAAAATCATCTGCATGTTCTAAAGAATATACTTGCTGGCTCTTCTCCCTTTTCTCCTCTAAGATAGTCTCCATTGGAAGAAAAGGCCTATGCTGGTAAATGTAGAGGCTCACATAATTCTGGTATCAACAATTACTGACAGTCAGTTTCTCCAGACTAGTCACCTAAACTGTCTTATTTGACCTGCATGCCCATTTTCTGTTTCCTGCTTCTGTGATTGCATTCACCTAAGTACCATCTGTTCCTGGGATCTCTTCCTCCTTGATAATTCCCATCTTTCTCCAAGACCCAGCTTACAATCTATCTTCTCTAGGCCCTTGGCTTGTTGGTTATGGCACGCTGTAGTCATGCTGCTTTATGTTCTCTCATCATTCTGTTCAATATAAGATTTCATATTTATTGAACATTTCTGTTGAACACTTGCAGGTTAGGTACCATTATTTTATCCATTTAAAAGACAAGGAAGTAACCCTATAGGGAAAATAGTACTGGTTTCCACCCAGGAATATGGGTTATTGTTAGTAGTGGCAGTGGGAGAAGTGATGAATTCTTAGTGTGTTGAGCTTGACCACCCTAGCATTCTAGGGTGTCATGTGCTGCATTTGATGCAAATGCACTCTTATATACTTGAAGGTAAGGTCTGAAATGTGCATTCAAGTGAGAGCTAGCCAGTAGGCAGACCTGCTAACTGTGTAGAGTGCTAAGGGACAGAAGCCTAAGACATAACCTTCCTTATGGGTAGAAGTCATGTTTGGACAATTATTTTGCATTACTAAAACTTATCTCTGAGGCTGTAAACACAGAAGGCAGAGATTCAAACATCTTCTAACTATTCTCCAGGTGTCCATAGCTACTAGTTTTCTGATCAAAAAAAGGTCCCTAGAAATATGGGCTCCCTATAAATATGGTAGGTCACTTTATGGGAGCCTAAGGGCATGTTTTATTTTTCTCCTCTTGTCTAAGTTTAAATTCATACTCACATAAAAAATATGTTTCAGACTGTGCTCTGAGGGCATCGGGAGGCACAGCATGCTGAAGTGTCGGATGAAACGAGGGGTCACAGGATTGCGACCACCTCCTGGAGGTGCACATGCTGATACGATTGTTACATCCTACAGAGAGAGAAATTCACTTGGGTCACCTAGCCACAGAAAGAGATGAGATATGCCCTTCCCAATAGCAGACAAAGAACCAGAATTTTCTGAGGACCTGCCATGAGCCAGAATTGCATTAAATTTTTGTACACATTAAATGACTTAATCCTCATGGCCACCTCAGGAGGTCACTGTTCTTATTCTCATTTCATGTATGAAAATAAAACCCAAAGTCCTCGATTGTTAAATACATTTTTAAGATCAAACAAGGAATTGGCAGTAGCAGAGCTGCATTTTGAAAAGGTTATTCGGGATGTCTGCAGACTGGGGAACAGAGTATAAGTATGTGAAGACCAGCAACTGTGCCAGTTTAAATCTCCCAATATCCCTATGAGATGGACAGTGTTGATTTCAATATTCCAGAAGAGAGTGGGCTTGTCTTTAGAAAATGGCCATGGAGATGAAAAGACATAAGTTATTATAGAAATATGTATAGTGAATAGCCTATATGTTAGAGGAAAATTCTAGAATTTGGGCTGTGTCTTCTTTTCCCTTGGGTGAATAACTCTATTATACTATCTTAATAACCTATCTTATAAGGATGCTGGGAGGATTAAATGGGAGCCACTGAGAACAATGCTTGGTATAATTTGCTTTTGTGGGTAAAAGGCAAGTCACTCTAGACATGCCCACTTTCCAGAACAGAAAGGCAGTCAACCTAAGCTGCCTTTCTCCCTCTGAGTCCTGCTGATCTTCCTCCTAAAACCTGCTGGTTGTACACTTCATCATCACATTGAGGACCTGACCCTCATCTCTTCTGCTATTAGTACTGTAGTTCCTCTGGTCTTACTTCCTCTCTAGCCCATCCCTTCCCTATATCATTTTCCTCAAGACTCGCTATCATATACAGGACAAATCTATATTCCTCATCATGGGGCCAGAACCTTCTGGGATGTGACTTTTGTATCTCCTGCTGCTTTGGGGCTCACATTTCATACCACTATGATATCCCACATTCCCCGCTTCTGAGGTATAAAATGATGCCTTTCTTTGCTCTGACTTGCTCTGACTATAAAACCCAACTCCAAGATCTCCTCTTTTGGGAAGGCTTCTCTCATCCTCAATCCAAACCTCTGTCTCTCCCATGTCTTTTGCCCTGAACTGTAAATATCTGCCCATTTTCCAAAGCTGAATTCTCTTGGGGGTGAGGACAGTCTTATTTGCCTTTGAATTTGCCGACTCAACCATGGCAAGAACTCAATATAAATTGAATGAATTGTATTACACATTTAAGAAATACCAAGGCCTTGTTGTAGGCTGAATTATGTCTTCTAGCCCCAAATAATATGCTGAAATCCTAATTCTCAGTACCTTAGAATGTGACCATATTTAGAGATAGGGTACACAAAGATGATGAAGATAAAATGATATAATTAGGATGAGCCCTACTCCAATATAATTGGTGTTCTTATAAGAAGAGATTTGAACACAGAGGGCAGTCCATTGTTATGATTTTAATATGGTTTGATCCATAAATCATGTTGGGGTTTAATCCCCATTTTGAGGTATTAAGAGAATGGAAACTTAATACAACTATGGTATTTAGGGTAAGACATTGGGGGATGATGAAGATTAGATAAAATCATCAGGGTGAAACCTTCCCTTTTGAATACTGGTGGCTTTATAAGAACAGGGAGGCAAGAAGATACACACACATGTTCTCTGTGTCTTGTTATGTGATGCTTTGCACTGCCCAGTACTCTGAAGCAAGAAGCTATCACAGAGGAAACCACTCAATTAGGGACCCAAATCATAAGCCAAAACAAATTATTTTTATTTATAACTTACTATCAGTGTTATAGTGTTATTAGCAACATAAAATGGCCAAACACTGAAAATTAGTACCAAGAAGTGAGACTGCTTCCAATAATGAATATCTGAAAATGTGCAATCAGCTTTGGGATTGAATAATGAGTAGAGGTAAAAAAGTTGGAGAAGTTGACTAGAAAAACTCAGAGTTCTGTAAATGGAGCATGATAGGTGATTCTTGTGAGGGCTCAAGAAATGAGGAGACAGGGAAATAGTCTCAGATGAAAATGATGATCCTATTGAAAATCTGAGTAAAAGTCATCATTGCAAAAAATTTGGCTGAACTATGTCTATGTCCCAGAGTTTTATGGCAGGCCAAATTTAAGAATGATGAAAAACTGGTGGAGAATATTCTAAGTAATATATAGAAGGACTATTTAAGGCTGTTTTTAGTGCAATTCAAGGGCAAAAGGAAACGATGGAAAGATTTGAAAATTTGTAGCTTGATCAGGGAAGGAGTAAAGAAAAAAATCTGAAAGAATGTGGATGAGAAAACATTTGCTAAGATTAGCAGGGATATCAGTTGTTAAGAGATGAGAAAAAGAAGATGGCCGTGAATAGAGTGCATCACACCCCATGTACCGCGCCACTGCGTGGGTGAATAACGAGTTAGAACGACAAAAAACTATCTTGTTAGGAACTTACAGCAAAATGGGGGTGCACCGAAACCTAGAGGAAGCATTTCCAGCACCGAGGTCCGGTAATTGAGTCTCATACACGAGCCAACTGTGCGACTGGAGATCCCGGCTGACTGATCCGTGCGGCCCGCCCCGCGGCTACAGACGGCGGGGAGCCGCCGAGAAGCGACCAGCAAGCAGGGAGATTCCTGCAGATTCTGTGGAATCCTGCCGCCTGAGCACTCACGGAGCCCCGGGCTGAGTTCGGGATTTCAGACGGGGAAGGAAGCGGGACAGCTCTATCCCCCACAACGGAAACTCCACCAAGGAAACCAGAGGCCACCATCTTGGAGAGCTGAAGTAACCACCACCACTCTCCGACAGATTGCAACAATAAAACAGGTGCGTGTTACTCAGCTCATCTCCCATACAGCGGGGAATTTGCATAAAATCTCTCCTAGGCTCTCCGGGGGAGGGATTATCAGAGCAAGCCTGCATAAAGACTCGGGGAAAACTAGAGACACCCGACCTTCAACTCCCCCTCCCATCAGCGGGGAAAACGAAACCTGTATTGCCAGCGCGGGGGGGAGGGGGGGGGGAGAGGCAAGCGGAAAAAATCAAAACAATAGAGTGCCGGGGGGTTCTCAATAGTCACCCTCCACGTCCAACAAACGGCAGGCCCAGCGTACAGTTTGAACTGCAGAGAGGCATCACTCAGGGGAAATCTGGTCTAGCAGGAGAAACCAGGACTAGCAGGAGAAACCAGGGGACTAGAGGCCAGGCCCTCGCGACTGGGCGGCTAGAGATGGCCCGCCCACCAGCGACAGCTGGCCCATTGCCCCTGCGACTGAGCAGCTGGAAACCGCACGCCCACAGGCGACCAATCGCCCGCCGGCTGCCCGAGCGACTGGGCAGCTGGGGACCGACAGCCCGCTGCCCATGCGACTAGGCGGCTGAAGACCGCACGCCCACCGGCGACCGATCATCCGCCCACTGCCTGCGCGACTGGGCGGCTGGAAACCGCCCGCCCGCTGGCGACTGACCCCCGCGACTGGGCGGCTATAGATCACCCGCCCGCCAGCGACAGCCCACCCGCTGACGGCGCGACTGGGCGGCTGGAGACGGCCCGGCCGCTGGCGTCCGGGAGCTGAAACCAACCAGAGACAGTCCAGTCCCACCCCTCCATTCGGACACCCCAGTAAGGAGCCTGGGGCCCGCCATAGCAGGGAGGTGACGTCACTGGAGCTCAGCAGTCGGAATTCCTTCTCAGCGGAATCCACTTTGGCAAGCATAGTCTACCAACACAAAAGAGAGATAACAGAGATATAAAAAACCAAAACAAATTTATAGAAGAGAGCAGAAACACAGCAATCAAATAGAACTGGAAAGTAGCGTGAACATCATGAAAAAACAAGGGAAAAAAGGAGTACAAACAATGCAGGACAACTTAAATCTACAGGAGGACCTAGAAGCATCAGAAACAGGGATAGGGAAAGAACTCAAGGCATACCTAACTCAGATGGAAAGGAATATTAGAGAAGACATGAGACAGCAAGTCCAAGCAATAAAAGTATATTTTGAAAATTAATTAAACAAATTCAAATGGCAAAGAACGAGCTTTACCAGGAGATAGAGATCTTAAAAAAAAATCAAACAGTAATCCTAGAAATGCAGGAAACTATAAACCAAATTAAAAACTCAAACGAGAATATTACAAATAGACTAGATGAAGTAGAAGTCAGAACATCAGATAATGAAGACAAAGTTTATCAACTTGAAAAGAATATAGTCAACACAGAAAAGATGCTTAAATCCCACGAGCAATCTATTCAAGACATATGCGATGTCATAAAAAAAAACAAATCTGAGAGTCATTGGGATAAAAGAAGGCACAGAGAATCAAACCAAAGGAATGGACAACCTATTAAATGAAATAATTCTAGAAAACTTCCCAGAGATGAAAGATGGAATGGATTGCCAAATCCTGGAAGCCTACAGGACCCCAAACATTCAAAACTGTAATAGACCAACTCCAAGACATATAATTATGAAGATAGCCAACATACAGAACAAGGAGAGAATATTAAAAGCTACGAGAGAAAGGAGGCAGATTACATTCAGGGGTAAACCAATTAGGTTAACGACTGATTTTTCATCACAGACTTTGAAAGTGAGAAGATCCTGGAACAATGTATTTCAAACACTGAAAAATAATGGATTCCAACCAAGAATACTGTATCCAGCAAAATTAAGCTTCAGATTTGACAATGAAATTAAAATCTTTCACGATAAACAAAAGCTAAAAGAATTCACAGCCAGAAAACCAGCACTGCAAAGCATTTTGAGCAAAATACTACAAGAAGAGGAATTGAAAAATAGAGCCCAAAACTAATAGCAGGAGGTATCTCAGTAAAGGGGGAGGAAAATAACCAAAAAGTAAAAACTAGCCAAACTAAAATAAATAAATAAATAAACATGACTGGAAGTACAAATCATATTTCAATTGTAACCTTAAATGTTAGTGGCCTAAAC